AGTGCTGGGGTTAGATGATCCCAGCCAGATGCCTACTGAACCCTCTCTTAAAGACCCCCAAAGTAGGGGAGAGCACCACCTCCCTTGGAAGCCCATTCCAAATTCTGGCCGCCCTTTCCGTGAAGAAGTTCTTCCTGATATCTATCCTAAATCTGCTCTTTGTCAGTTTGTGACCACTGTTCCTTGTTACCCCAAGAGGCGCCCTGGTGAACAGAGCATCTCTGGTTCCCTGCTGTGCCTCCCCTAATGAATTTGTAGGCAGCAACAAAATCACCTCTCAGCCTTCTCTTGTGGAGGCTGAAGAGATCCAGATCCCTCCGTTTTTCCTTATAGGGCTTGGCCTGCAAACCCTTAACCACATCCTTATTAAGGCACGGCGCCCAAAACTGGATGCAGTACTTCAACTGTGGTCTGACCAATACCACATAGAGGGGAAGTATCACCTCCTTGGTTCTATTTGTCATGCATTTGCTGATGCAAAATAAATTGCAGTTAGCTTTGCTGATGATTTTGTCACACTGATGATTCAAGTTCATCTAGGAGCCCATTATGACTCGGAGATCTCTTTCCGCTTCTGTGCTGCTGAGAGGGTCATTTCTCAGCCAGTACGTGTGCTGGATATTTTTATTCCCTGGGTGCAGCACTCTGCATTTGTCCTTGTTGAACTGCATCGATTGTGTTCTGCCAACTTTTCCAACCTGTCCAGGTCTGCCTGCAATTGTTCCATATCCTCCGGTGTGTTCACTTCACCCCGCAATTTAGTATCATCCGCAAACTTGGACAGAGTACACTTCATGCCCACATCCAAGTCACTGATGAAGACATTGAAGAGTACAGGTACAAGGACCGAGTCCTATGGTATCCCACTGCCCACATCCTTCTAGGTTGATACCAACCCATCCACTACTACTCTCTGAGTGCGACCCACAAGCCAATATGCCACCCAACGGACTGTGTAATCATCCAAGTCAGTGTCTTCATTTATTTATAAGAATGGGATGAGATACCATATTGAAGGCCTTCCTAAAATCCAAGTAAATGACAAAAGCTGTTTTTTGAAGATTGCCAGGATGGATGACTATACCACCTCTGGGGAGAGCCTGTTCCAAACCCTCAGCACTCAACTTACAAACAAGTTTTTCCTTACGTCTAGCCTGAAGCAGTCTTCAGTCAGCTTGTGCCCGTTATTTCTTGTCCTCCCCTGGGGGACCTTGGTGAATAGATGCTCCCCCAAGCCCTGACGTATGCCCGTAAATGCTGTTGTACTGCAAAGCCTTAGAAAAATCAGCTATGGAAGCTGCCTAGAAGGGTAGGAAACCTAGAATATATTCAAGTTTAAGAATTTATGGATTAAAAGCCACAAATACAAGTTTTTACCAGTTCCATCTGAAGAGAAGTTGCACTGTTCACTCTCATGGACTGTTCTGTCACTATAAGCACCTCCATATGCCGCTTCATATCCTGGATCATATTTTTCTTCCTTAACTGCCATCTTTTTAGCATCCTCTGGAGAAACAAAAAGAAAAGGATTCAACCTGTTAATGTTCAGAATAAAAGCAAGCCATGATCATTTTGTCAGACAACCACACAGCAAAATAATACATATCTCTTTTACTTTGCAGTCATTTCTCCTCTTAGAAAAATAAATACAATTAGGGTTTCAAGAAAAAAATTTAATTCTACACCATCTGGTTTGGGTGAGCTGAAATAAATCTTCTTAATTAAATATACATCTTTTTTGTGTCTATTTTGATTAATGCTGGTTGCTGTTATATATTACACCAAATATGATGACATGGCTATTGCATACGTTTTAAGAAAGGATTATCAAAAACCCACTATACCTTGTGCAAGCTGTAAGTCAAATGTGTACTCCACCTCCTGCACCTCTGTGTTTGGTGCAACGCCTTTCAGCTGATCCCTTAAATCTTTGAGCTTTATATAGTAATGTACTTTATCTTGCGCACGAGGAAACTGGGCACATCTTGCACTGGATGATGGCATAACATAGCAGAGCTTTACAAGAGACAAAGATCAGTAAAGGCTAGATTAGATATGCTGTCAAGCATGCAAAAGCTGTTAAAGCATCAAGAACTGACTAATTAAATAGCTCTGTACAAACATTAAGTAATGCCTCAGAGATAGGAAAGGCCTCATTCCATGTCCCTTTACTAGCTGAGGATCTTACCCCAGACAAGGCAGCAGGTCTTCAGCTGTGTGAGCTATGACAATTTATACCAGTTGCTCTAGAAACTAACATTTAACACAGATACAGAAAAATGAAATCACTAGCCTAGTAAGATGCAGTATTTATGAATTAACAAGCCACCTACACATCATCTTGGGTTATTTATTTTCAAATCACATACATAATTTCAAAGTCAATGTGTCTATTGAAGAAATATTTTAAGAATAGTTTGTGGATTAAATCCATGTGTTTCCTCATGCTAGTTGGTTAGGGTCCACTTGTGTATTAGTTAGCTACTTACATTCCACTGCTGATGCAGTAAGACTAAGGAAGACCAAAGGAATTTGCCAGCTGAATTTGACAAGAGAAAAGCAGGTGTAGGGTTGTTTTGTTTTGCTCTGTACTGTTACCCCAGGAGGAAGAACCCACAACGGGTGAAAAACTGCACCACTAATATGGCTGCTAACTCCTCCTCTGCCAGAGGAAGGAACTTGTCTCCACATAGGACCCTGACCTTGGAGGCTTCCAAATGGGTTTTAGCTTCGACTTGCTGGGAATGAGGCTTGCTGATCTCTAACAAAGGAAGCCACGCAGGAGATATCACTCAGGGAGTGTCTCCTGGGGGAGTCCACCAGGAAGCAAGCAAGCTGTAAAAGGAGACCACTTGCCTGATAACCACATGGAAATGGGAAGGTTTCATCAACAGGATGTATATAGAGCAGGGATAGGCAATTATTTTGGGCGGAGGGCCACTTACAGAGTTTTAGCAAGCTGTTGAAGGCCACAATTCCTTCTCTGGCGCAGGGAAGCAGGAACAGCCCCATGGTCCCAGGCCAGAAGTCTCTGCTAGGCAGGGGTTTCTGGTTGGGGGGGCAGGGCCGGGCAGGTCCTGCCACCAGCTTCTTCTGGGTCCTACTGCCCCTGGCTCCTGTCATCTTTGACAGGCAGCTAGGAGCAAGCAAATATTAATTTTCTAAATTTTTTAGGGGCCCCGTGGCCCGGATAGAATGGCCTGGCGGGCTGTATCTGGCACCCGGGCCATATTTTGCCCACCCCTATTATAGAGCCATGCAGAATTGAGGAAAGTATCTGCTCAAAAAGGACTACAGTGGCACGACAGGAAGAAAGTAGAGCAGCTGTGCAGTCAGGAAACTGTCTGCAGGCCACCTCACATAACAGACAGTACTCCCCTCTTAACTGCCTGTGTCTGAAGTCAAGCACTGTTATGTGGCTCCTAAGAGCAGACCCCGAAGGCCTGAAGAGGAGCCGTGTGCTCCCAAGGTTGGGAGGCTCAGGGCCACCACCAGGGCCATGCCTGGTGGGGGGGGGTGGAGGGGAAATCAGAGTGACTGCCCCAGGTCCCATGCTTTGGGGTTCTTGTGGAGCTGAGCCGGCTTCGTGTTTGGCTGTTTGCCACCCTCTTCCCCCTAACTTGTTGTTCCCTTTCTTTGCCAGATGGTGCCAAATACTAGATGCGAATACATAGCTGTGCAAATTATGGCTATGGAAGGGCTCTGGCCCCCTGATGGTGGAACAGTGTTGTACAAAAGGACTGCTGGAAAGATAATAGACACCATCTGATAAAGAAAGAAAACAGTAAGTTAGGGCACTGGTTTGTCAACCTAGTGAGGAGAAGTTTCAAATAGGTTTGACAAAAGGCCTAGAGCAAGTGAAAAAAAAAGTGACAGAGTCAAAGGACTACTCTGCAAACCAGTGAAATAGAATTTAGGTGAAATTGCCATTAGAGGCATGCACAAGCGGTTGAAAAACAGCACTACACTATCTGGGAAGATGACAAAATCTCTTTCCAGGGAGGTTTTTAAGAACTGGTCAGATAAATTTCTGTCATGGATGGCCTAATACCTTTATTTAAATACGAAACCTTCATTTCCTTTGCGCTTTGGGCAAAATCTTCACTGATGTAACTTAGTTACATCTCCACTTGGTTTCACTAGCCTTGAAATAACAAAACTGGTGTTCTGTATTTCAGTTCATTGCCACGATATCTGTATAGCAGAAGGAACTTACCGTTTCTGTATCGGGGACCTTGTGTGGCTGCAATCCAAATTCCAAGTTTTTAACTTTTACTCCAAACACTTCTTTACTAAAAATTTCATAAATACCTAAACCAAAACGGAGACAGATTACACACCTGGTAGAAAGCTGTTATAAAGGATAAATTGTTCAAAGTTAAGTTTCTCACATTTTCCATTAAAAGCTGCTATGCGAGGTTGATATTTTTGCAATTTCTGCATCAGAATTCGCCCTCCTTCCCGAAACTCTTTACTAAGTAAAAGAGAGAAAACCATCATTCACGATTAAGACCACATGTTTGTTTAGACAATGGTTTGATCCCAAGTTATCCTACCTGGAGAGGTCTTTGCTACCTGGTGTTGTTCTCTCCACCATGTTTGTAAATCCAATACCATATTTTTGTGGTAAAGTGTGGTCATCCATATGGTTCAATTGTTCTTTACTCAGCCCAGACATGAAAAGACACTTCCCTGTGGAGATATAAATTACAACGTTATTCTTTCATGCACTATGAAACACTTGCAGTTGCCAGAATACTTCAATAATGCCAGCATTTTAAATAAACATGTATTTCTAGGGAGATATTAACATGACAGACACTATGTCAAAGCACTACTTAAACAAGACACTGACTGGCATATAAATACTGGAATGCTAAAGATGGACTCCAAGTTAAGCAACTTCGTTTTTATTTAAAGTAATTGTCTATCTGTAAATATTTATTTTACAACTTCCCATTACATTCATGGCTTTTACTTAATCTAGATAGAAAATTGCTGAAAATATGACACCGCAAGCATAGAAGTAGGGTCGGAAGGGACCTTGTAGATCTTCAAGTCCGCCCCCCTGCCTGGGCAGGAGGAAAACTGGGCTCAATTGACCCCAGTCAGGTAGGCATCAAGCTGCTTCTTAAAGACCCCCAGGGTAGGAGCCAGCACCACTTCCCTTGGAAGTTGGTTCCAGATCCTAGCCGCCTTTACTGTGAAGTAGTTCTTACAGATGTCTAATCTAAACCTACTCTCCAACAACTTGTGGCCGTTATTCCTTGTTATCCCAGGGGGGCGCCAGGGGGAACAAGGTCTCCCCCAAACCCTTCTGGTCCCCCCTAGTCAGTTTATAGACGGTCACCAGGTCCCCCCTCAGCCTTCTCTTGTGAAGGCTGAACAGGTTCAGGTCCCGTAGCCTCTCATTGTAGAGTCTTCCCTGCTGTCTTCGGATCATGCGGGTGGCCCTCCTCTGGACCCTCTCAATGTTGTCCACATCCCTCTTGAAGTGGGGTGCCCAGAACTGGACACAGTCTCCAGCTGTGGCCTGACCAGTGTCACGTAGAGGGGGAGGATCACCTCCTTGGACCTACTTGAGATGCACGATAAGGTCTGGTTAGCCCTGCTGACCGTGACCTCACATTGTCGGCCCATGTTCATCTTGGAGTCAATGATGACTCCAAGATCCCTTTCTGCCTCCGTGCTCTCAAGAAGGGAGCTTCCCATCTTATAAGTGTGCTGCTGGTTACTACTGCCCAAGTGCAGCACCCTGCACTTGTCAGTATTGAAACGCATCCTGTTTTTGTTAGCCCACCCCTGCAACCTATCCAGGTCTTTCTGCAGTCTTTCCCTCCCTACTAATGTGCCCACTTAACCCCAAATTTTGGTATCATCAGCAAATTTGAACAGGTTGCTTTTCACCCCATCGTCCAAATCGCTGATAAAGAAATTGAACAGTGCGGGCCCAAGGACCGAGCCCTGGGAGACTCCGCTGCCCACTTCCCCCCAGGTTGAATACAACCCGTCCACCACCACCCTCTGAGTACGACCCTTCAGCCAATTTGCAATCCATCTGACTGTGTAGGCATTGATGCCACAGTCACCTAGTTTTTAATGAGGATGGGGTGGTCGACAGTGTCAAAGGCCTTGCTGAAGTCCAGAAAGACTACATCCATGGCGACACCTGCATCCAATGCTTTTGTGACCTGATCATAAAAGGCAATCAGGTTGGTCTGACATGACCTGCCCCTAATGAAACCGTGCTGGTTGCCCTTGAGCATCATCCCCAGGTTCCCTGACTCTAGATTGCATCTAGAAAAGCTGGCCCATCTGCCAATGTATTACTTAACACTGTCAGGTTACTCCCACTAGTATAACTGCATGTCTTCTCGCAGTCTCCATACTTTGATTTTCAGAGGGGACCAAAGACAGAATTCTTTAAAAATAAATTTGTTTAGGCAAACTAAGGGAGACTCTTCCCTTACATCTAGATGGGACTCCTGGTTAAAGAACATTTTTGACTAACAACTTGGGGCATACTTTTGTTTTTTACTTTGTATAAATTAAAGCAAGACTGTCCAACTTTGTTGTAACCGGGGGCTGGATCTTGACTTCCTTAAGATCCTCCCACCAACCATGCAGGCTGCACCTGCAACCCCCACTCACTGCACATGGCTCTCTACCCCAGGGGCTATGCCAACAGCATGCTGCCGTATATCCCTTGGGGGACCGCCATCTTCTCTGACAGCTACAGCATTACCCCTGAAGAATAAGTTACACTGGTGCCCAAATGTCAGCCCACTCATTTTTTACTTATGAGAGTTGGAACAAAGAAAGGTTGAGAAATTGCAGCAGCCAGTATTATGGATGCAATGAAAATGAATTACACAGTTCAGCAGTTTATATGTAAAAGAAACTACACAAATATACATAGGAAGGTATAAGGTACATAAATATACATAAGAAAATAATATTTTCAGAGTACAAGAACCATAATTATTTTATAGAAAAAATACTATAAGAGACTCTTTTGAAGGTGCATGGTATGATTCTCAAGGGAATAAAAATGCTTAAGAATCCTCAGCAAGAAAAAAGAGAAAGCTCAGGGTTGACACTCAGGGTGGAGGCACAAACTATGTGGAATATTAAATAAGTTCAGTAGGCTCATGCTTCATTCACCAAGGAGCAAATTTATGTGCCCCCCACCCCATGTGGAGGTTTTTATGCTACTGAATCTTAAACTAGCTGTAATCCACAAGCCTGGACAGCACAGACCAGCATAAATGCTGTCTAACATCAAGAGAGACATGGGGTCCCAGACATGCAACCTTCTTATAAACTTCCTCTTGGCTGGACTCCCCTCTTCAGTGTGACAGTTGGTGTGAATCCCAATGGAAACGAACCTACGCGTCTCCAGTCCCAGGATGCAGAACTTTTCTTTTTGAACTCTGCTTGTGTAAACATGCATGTTAGGCACAATGTAGCCATAGCTAAAAGTCTTAATGAATCAGGGCCTATGACACTGAGTTAAGTCCAGTAAGTTTTTTCAGTTATACAATCTAATTATGTTTATATAGTAATTATTTATCTGCACGTATAAACATGATGTACATTGTGACCAGGACTATTTGTTGATCCATCTTGATTTTGTTCTGGTTTGGGGCTTTTATGTTGACAACTGTAACAGAAACTGCGCTCATCATTAAGTCACTCTTAGATAATTGTAAAACTGTTAAAAAATGTGAAGACACAGATGCCCTAATGATACAATGCCTCTAATTATGACAGATTTCTGCAAACCCAATAAAAGAAATAAAACTTACAAAAATGATTTCCAGGTCCAGGGTAATGATGCCCTTTGTAGGCTGCCATCAAGCCTGGGTTTATGCCAATCTATAGGGCAAAATATTAATTAAAACACAGATTAAAAAACATGACCATTAAAATAGCAGATGTGAAAAAGGAATGTGCTTATTAATAAATTAATAGAGTTACATTACACATTTTCTGTCAATTCTACTGGCAGCTATTCAAAATGATAATTCAATTAATAATTTTCAGTGATGTATTTTACATCTCAATTTGAAGACTCTAGAATAATGGTATTTGTAGACCATATGTGAACAGTTTCTACTTTCCCCCACAATTAAACCCTAGATTTTTCAAGAACTAGAATTCTGTTATTGCACAGGTGTCAAAAATACAGCCTGCAGAGCACCCATTACCTGGTCCCAGAGTCTGAGTTGACCCACATGCCATGCATCAGACTGACCTTTATACCCAGAGCCCAGGATGTATGTTGTATGCAGCACCCACTCTGGCTGGCCCAGGATGCACTCAGCACCCATTCCGGCCAATCCATAACTTGCACTGCATATGGGTGCTGTATACACTGGATCCAACATTGGGCAATGTGTGTAAGAGGGGTCTGTGGGACTGATCTGGCCCATGGACCAGTCCCATGCCACTCATCTGGCCCCAAGGAGCCATATGAGCTTGACATACCTGTTACTGTAATTTAAGAAAATGCAAGTTGGCTGCTGACAAACAAGTAGCAGTAAATCATGGCTAATAAGTTACAGACTATTCAAAACATGCACAACTAAGAAAACTGAATATAACTTACTATTACAATGTCCAGATTGAAGGTCAAAATATCAGGCAGAGTCTTGGTTAAAAGTTCAGCTTCAGATACCCCATTAAAACGGTCCACTTTTCTTTTGACTTTAAAAGTATCGGTGATCTTTTCTTGTTTGCCTTTTAATTTAGCTGACTTAGGTGCTTTGGCAGCAGGCTTTTTGGGCTCAGTTGATTTGGTTTTTCTCTTCCTGCCCCTTGTAACTTCTGCAACAAAAACCAAAATATACTGGCTACATTTCAACTGGTCTACCAAAATCTATTCTTATCTTCAAAATACAGATGCAGGATAACCCTTCAGAACAGCTTCAGATAAATCTCAATGCAAGTTCTGTCTATAAAGGCCACTAGCCCTGGTCACACAGTGAAATTGGAAGTTTAAGTCTGTGCTATAGACAGGAAAAGTTAAATTAAATTAGAATCTTAATTTACTGGACATCACAATGAAAAAAAAAAGGTGTTGTTTTGGTAAAAAGATAGTTAATGATATGCTGACAAAAATCTAGGTAGAGTAACAAACACCATGGAACTGGGAGAAAAGTTCATTAAAAAAAGGTGTTTAGTTAATTTGCTGAATCATAACAATGAAAAAAAAATGGTTCTTCCTGTTGGGATTGATAAAATCAGGAGGTTTTTTACAAACAGGGCTAGGCATAATGAAGCTGCAACGTATATATTTTTCTTTGAGTTCCCTACCATACCCCCAAAATTATCTAACTGCCCCTAATAATAATCCTTCAGCCATCCAGGACTTCAATGGAGAATTTAAGTTTCAGAGTTGTGTTATAAATTCTAATAACTGAGAAGTTGCAAACTTACAAACTATATTATATACTGCAAGTCTTGTAGATCATCTTACAGGCTGAATAGTTCCGATTTTGCCCTGCTGTTTAAGAAACGCTCAGTGAAGTCCTTCTTCATTTCCACAGTATAAATATGCACTGAGCAATAACTTGATACATCAGTATGGTCACTGTAAATGCATATTTTTAATAAATCCACAAATACACCAACTCTCACAGTGAAGGAAGCTACAGTGGTTGGCTACAGAACAAACCCAGATTATAATGGTCACACAGTTAATTTCTTATGTAGAAACAAAGATCCCTTGATAATACTCCAAAAGGGAAAGAAAAGTTCATAAAATTTGTTGGTTTTTTGGGGGGAAGGGAACAGAGTTAGAAACAACAAAATCTAGGCTCCAGTAAATGATATTACAAGTTTTATATTCCTGTTCAGCTTTCAAATATGAAGGCTTATTGTTGGAAATCATAGTTTCAATAGAGTGCCATGTAAAAAGTCTAACAAGAGAAAGTGAAAGGGACAATACAAATGTCTATAATTATATATAAGGCAGTGTTTTTCAATCGGTGTGCCGTCAGACACATCCAGGTGTGCCACGGCATTCTGGGCCGGAGCCATGCCCCCTGCCTTGCTGGAGCCACGCCCCCCCTGCTGCTGCTGCAGACACAGACAGACCAGGAGTGTGGCTCCAGCCAGGCAGGGTTGTGACTCCAGCCCAAAATGCCGTCTGGCTGGCTGCAAGCCACCCCCCACCCCTGTTCCACATCTGGTGTGCTGCAGTGCTTTTTTATTTAGGTAGGTGTGCCGTGGGGCGAAAAAGGTTGGGGAACACCGATGTAAGGTATATGCCGCGATATAAACCCATGAAGTAAACATGGATAAAACTGCACAGATTATTTAGTCTGCACTTCTTTGAACAGAAATAGACTGAGGTGAGGTTTAAAACTCGAGAGTGCCCCAGCTTTTCAATTTAAATGATTCCTGAAGAGAATTGTTACTTAGAGAGTATATACAAAACTGAAGTTACCTGTGCAGACGAGATAAAATATATATTTTAAAATTCTAGCATACTAAGCATCTGAGCTATAACTATTGGTCATAACATGATCCAAGTGAGTCCTTATGCCACTCTCTTTATTTTGACGCTAATGAACAGGGCTTGAAAAATCCAAACTCCTATTTACCAGTGATAGAATTATTTACAAGGACGGTCTCTGAAATACTGGAGGCTGTGTGTGAAGCAGAACAACAGATCACCTTTTCTTCCTCTTTTACAGGAGCAAGCTGTTTACTTATACGCCAAAAGTCTCTTGAGGGAGCAGATTAAGTCTCCTTACTTGCAAAAAACAACCAGAAGAAATCTCAAACTTAGCAGACACTTTTGCCCTAGATGGTGTCATTAAAAATGGAACACCCAAGCACAGTTCAGTGACAGCTTTCCAGCAGGAAATACCAGCTATTTTCCCCTTTGCAAGTTGCTGTATCATCTTTGTCTTTCATATTTCTCCCTGGATTATTAGGTTTAATTTTCCTGGCTGGTAGGGCTCATAAGTCTCTAGTCAAGTTTTCAAGCCCAACTAATAAATTTGTGGAGACTTCACCTCAGTTTCAATGCTTTCAACACGGGTTGCTAGCCTGCAGCTAACTGCCACAAATAGCACAGGCAGCCAGCCTCTGTATGTGTGGCACATGGCAGACTAGGGAGGAGACAGGTAGCAGAAAGAAGAGCATCAGATTACACCAGGAGCATGGGGCAGGAAGTAGAAAGCAGGGCTGCAGCTTGGTCAGGAAGCAGAAAGTTGAGGTAAGGGAAACCTTTGCAGACTTTACAATTGGTCCGGTCAGCAAAGTAAAGAAAGCAACTAACATGTCCAGCTAAACCAGCAGTGAGATTAAACTAAACAGATCACAAGACCTGGTAGGAAACATCATATAACAGGGCCTTAAGATGAACCCAAACATAGTATATTATAGTTTAGATTAAGAATACTAGTACTAGTGACTGATGCAATCAAGTATACCAGATATAACTGTACTATAATAGATAAACATTGTTAAGTATTGTATCCAAGTTGTAAAAGCAAAAACAGCCTTATCAGAGATGACCTTAAAAAGGAAAAAAAAGAAAAAGAAAACAGGATGGTATATTCGGCAACATTCCAAGATGACAAAGGAAGGAGATGTAAAATCCTCTCAAAAATGTTTACAAGGATATAAATCACAGCTAACTGACACCTTCCAGGGCCAGTTAGTGAAACAGAAAAAAAGAAAAGCAAATGTATCAATTAGTGAATGTTTGTTACAGTAAACTATATTTAAACATATATTATAGACTGTAGGGAACAAAAGGGAACTCAGTGGATCCAAGCAGACCTACTTCTGGTCTGTAGGTTATTTTATTTTTTCCTGAGTCTCCCAGGGGGTACAGTGCATATTCTTGTGCTTTGGGATGTAAACAATAAAGGCTGGGCTGTAGAACTGTGTCTTGCCTCTTATCAGTAGCTAAACTACCAGTACACCTGTAATCTATTTAACACTACACTACCTAGTGATGTTCAGAGTATAACACTCATGTGTACTTCAAGAAATTGACTGTAGTGAGCTCACATCTGTGGCAGGTTGAAAAAAATAATAACAACAGTCAAAACTGTTGAATAACTGCCATACAATTACAATGAATCACAGAAATACCAGGATAGTAATTAAAAGGTTACCTGAAAGATTTTCAGGGAAAAAGAATTCTACTACCACTGTTTTACAAAACTTTTTTGAAACTTTACCAGCCTACTAAAATGCCCATTTATTTTTTAAATTCGCAATCCAAACTGACTAAAAACAATTTACCTGCCTATCAAAAAATTTTACTTGCCCTAGGACAGTAGCATCTTACAGAACTGAGTGAGGGATGGGGTGTCTTATTTCTTTATGGTTTTTTACATTACAAAAATCAAATTCAAATGCTTGTGCAGAATGTCAAAAAGAGAAAATTCAGCAGGGCAATTTAAGACATCACCCTAGAAATCGGCTGCTGGCAGGTATAGTTAATATGAGACATCACCCTAGAAATCGGCTGCTGGCAGGGATAGTTAATATAGATTTTAACATAATAAAATTATTAGTTTAGGCAACCTACCTTGAGTAGGCTCTGAAGCAAAATTTGGCTCTGGAATCCCCTCCAGAGTTTGTTGTTCATTCATAATTTCCGTGTTAGGAGCTCCAGTTATCACTTGATGGAATGGAAACGGATAAAATGCTTGGGCTTGTTGAAGAGGCGAATAATACCTTGAAGAAAAAAAAAAAAAAATTGCAAGACATATTTTACAAGCATTTCAGAATTGTTTATAATCTATCCAGTATATTACAAACTCCACACTTTTTACTATGGTTGATGCATGTTGTAGGTTATATTCTCCACTCACAGCTTTTATGATTGATAAATCTAATAAAAAAGCAGTAGAGTATCCAACATTAAATGAATAGGCTGGCAACGCTGATTAATTAATGGCTGTTAAGCATTACTAAGAATGAAAATGGCATTTTCATGTTCTTGTAATGTAAATAATGCCCTAAACAAGAGCCAGAACTTTCAGACTACTACAGACATATTAAACACATGTAGGGGTGCACCAATAAATGTTGTTTTGGGCTGTGCAAAATTTTGGCAGCCATTAAGTCTCAGAGGTGTTTCGGCCCATTTCGGTACCCGAAACACCGAATGCAAAATGAAACAGAAGGCTCTGAAGCATCTCTGAAACTAAACGAAACCATCCAAAATGTTTCAGAAATGTTTTGGATGTTTCGGAGCCGGGCTTGCAGGTAAACAGAAACAAAGAGGGAAGGGGAAGAGGGGCGGAAGGACTGCTCTGATACTGACATCTGTAGCTGGCCAGTGTCTGCGATCTGTCCCTGAGGTCCCTTCCAATCCCAGTGCTCTGGGGGAGGGGCAGCAGCCCGCTGTCATCCTGTGCACAGATCCAGGGGCCCGTGCCCCCTGGGAGGAGTCTGGCTCAGTCCCACAGCTCTCCTGGGGGATGCGGGCCCCCGAACCTGCATGAAGGATGACAGCATGCTGCTGCTGCCAGCTGGGGCCAGCGCCAGCATCCAAGTCTGCTTGGCGCAGCCTGTGCCAAGCATAGCCAGGGGAGCCGTGGGAGAAGCCGCCATGGCTGTCCTGCCCGTCTCCATCCCCTGCCTGGCCCTGCTTCCCGCACTCGAAAAACAAAAAACAAAACAAGCCCTGCCCTCACCGGCTGTAGCAGGGGCCATGGGGGCTCTGGCGCCACATGGCAGAGCACCCCCTGCATAGGCCCTGCTCCCTGATCTCCCCCTGATGACTCTCCCCCCATCATGGTGTGAGTGGAACATGGCTCGGCAGGGCGCTGCATGCTGTCTAGGAGCTGGGGCTACTGGGGCTGAGTGGTGCTGGGCTCCGACTGACTGCTGGAGCTGCCCCAGTTCCCGGACAGCACGGCGCCCTGCTGAGCCGCACTGCACCTGCGCCATAGGGCAGCTGTCATGCAGATGCCAAGCGGGGGTGGTGCAATCCCCGCTGCCCCCCACTGCCCCATGCTGCACGGCGGGGCTCTGCCATGAGCCCCCCAGAGGCCGTGATTGCCGCTGCTACAGCTGGTGTGAGTGTGGGGCCTTTTTTTAAGTGCTGGGAGGCTGGGGCTGGGGCTGGGTGGGGGATGGGGCTGGGCAGGGCAGCCTTGGGGGCGTCTCATGGCTGCCCTTAGAAGCAAATCACTGTCCTCCAAAATGGCCAAATTTGAAATCGAAATGAGACATAGCCGTTTTGCACAGCCCTACCTATTATTAACCAGCCATATCCACCAATACTGATCTGATAGCTGATATGCAGCCCAGCAGCTCAGAGAGTAGTGTGTGGTTGGTAAGTCTGTGAGGGGGGGGCAGATCGAGACCCCAATGGTGAGGGAGGGAATGGGGCTGGGGCAGGAGCTGCTCAGCTGAGATGGGGTGTGGTGTGAAGCTGTGGGAAGCTCAGCTGGGAGATGCAGGGGGGTGGGGGCTCATCGACACTGCGTGTGCCCCTGGGGGAGACATGTGTCCTCCTGGAATTGTGCATGGGGCAAGGGTGGGCAGCCCGCTGCAGGCTCCCCCTCTCCACTCTTCCTACCCCCTTCACCTCCTGGATGAGCCACCCGCAGCTCTGTCCCATTCCCTGCCGTGGCTGGGTAGCGCCTACCCCTGCCCCAGCCCTACTCCCTTCCTCACTGTGGGGGACTTGACCTGTCCCCCAACACCCCTTCCCTCCCACAGATTTACCGGTTGGACACTGCTCTTCAAGCTACCAGGCTGCATTCCTGGCCATGTGCATGCTGTGGCTGTGCGTACGCATGGGGCATTTATCGGTAACATTATTGGCTACACCAGCCAAAAGAAGCCGGTCAATTTTCCTTTTATCGGTGCCAATCTGATATAGACCGATGTATTGGTGCACCTCTAAACACATGTATAATTTTCTTGTACTTTTCTATTCCCCCATATGTTAGAAACCATTACAATCTATATTGTTAAATCTACACTAACAACTACACAGAGTGTGGGACTGATTTAAAGCTGCTGTTGGACTTAACATTTCTCAGATTTTAAAAAACACTGAAATCCTTCCTGTTATATCAGCAGGGTATGTTGTTCTATCTAACATGGAGCACAAGATATTACAGATGCATGAGTGACACAATTAGCCAAAGACAGATAAGTTAATACCTTTAATCTTTACTGTAACTGGTCATTCCTGGTCACATCAGAGAGAAATCTGACTTCCACGCCATGCACACAGAGTATCTTACTTCACATATAGCCTCCACATACATGCACAAAACTCAATACACAGAAACACATAGAACCCCTCCATGAACTCTCAGGCTCCAGGCCTTTATAATATTTATGTCATGTATACATGCAGAGACCCCACGTTCCCTGCCCCCATACACTACATACACCTTCCATATGAATAGTTCCCTCCCATATAGACCATATATATCCCATCTCCATTTACATACAGCAAGAAGTCATTTTTGGTGAAGAACCAAGTTGCTGAAAAAAATGTGGCTTTGGTCACCCCAGAGCTACGTAAAAACCCACTGCATTTTTTTTGGTGGAAAATAATTCAGGCCTAAATTCACAGATAATGACCATATGATGTCATCATTATCTCCCTTGTATCCAACAGCCGAGGGGTAGGGATGTGGGACGTCTGGGTTCAAATGACGTCCTTTGCTTAAGGCAGGGGTCAGCAACCTACGGCCCACAGGCCAAATATAGCCTGTGGATGTGGGGCTTGGCAAGCATGCACCCATGCAAACTGCAGTGGCAGCCACATCCTTGTGGATGCCAGCTAGTGCATGACTCAGGTTGGGTTATTTCAGCCCACAGCCAGTAAAGGTCAGCTATCCCTAGTTAATGGGAATTCAAGCCCCCAATCTGTGGAATGGGTACCACCAGGGGTACGCAGACAACCGGTCAGTGGTATGAGTTAACAGATTTATTATAATTACTTTATATGACAAAAATGTGCTAGTGGTACTTAAGGTTGTATCGTTTTAAATCGGTAGTATGCAATCTGTCAGAGTTCGGAAACCACTGCATAGTGCTCAACTTTTTTGACTGGTGGGCTAAATGGACCATGGGCCAGATCCAGCCAGTGGTCTCAATCCAGCACCCTGGACAGTGCTAGTGGGGTCCTATCCAGTTATGTTGATGGGACAGCCTGGCCACTCACTGGGGGGGAGGGGTGTGGCCCAGCCCAGATCCAACTGTGGGGGGGACGGGAATGTGGCCTGGCCCCGATCCAGCTGTTTTTGGGGGTCAGGGACATGGCCTGGCCCCGACCCAACTGTTTTTGGGGGGTTGGGGCCTGGTCCCGATTCAGCTGTGGAGGGCCGGGAAGTGGCCCAGCCCGGATCCGGCTGTTTTTGGGGGGAAGGGGCTCGAGAATTTGGCAGTGGGCCGGGCGCAGCGCCACCACTCGCACGCGGCCACATTTCCCGCCCCGTGG